AATTTTGCGTCAGTGTTCCTAATTTTCAAAAATGACACTTTAATAAAGCTTAGTCGTTATGAATATTTCAAAATATCCAAAATGTCAGCTTAGAATAAGTAAATATAAGTACACAGGAGGCCCACAAAGAGTGCATGCAGTATTTCTTCGACATTTTTTCCCGAACTTTACTGCTTCTATGCTTCAAGCTTTTTGATACGCCGTACTCTTTCACTTTGACTTGAGGTAAAACATGATTTGATACTTAAAATTCTACTGAGTTTATGATACACCTTACTTACGAGTATATACTTTTTAAATCTATGTCCCAGATGCTCATAAATAGCAACAAAATTATCATAATAGCAAAACTCATTTCGAAATCGTAAGAAACAATATAACTCCGACCTCGTAAGACAATATAACTCCGACCTCGTAAGACAACATAACTGCGACCTCGTAAGACAACATAACTGCGACCTCGTAAGACAACATAACTCCGACCTCGTAAGACAACATAACTGCGACCTCGTAAGACAACATAACTCCGACCTCGAATGACAACATAACTCCGACCTCGTAAGACAACATAACTCCGACCTCGTAAGATAACATAACTCCGACCTCATAAGACAACATAACTCCGACCTCGTAAGACAACAAAACTCCGACCCCGTCAGAAATATTTGAAGGTCCTGCAGTCCCGGGCCTATACTACGTAAGTTCATCAGCCAATCATTGACGGCCTTTCAAGCAAAATCCACCAATCATAGAAAAGAAAATAGACCGTAAGTACTTACGTTCACTTAGCGAGTTTTGAAAGTATGGCCCCCGGTCCACACGCAGGCAGCGGGAGCTCCTCTCTAATCCCCGCGACGCAAGAGTCGCTGTAACGCTAGACTCGGCACACCCGACCGCCGGGGAGGACTAGTGTTTTCTCTTATCTCTGTAATACTTCCTCTTTTTTATGCTTAGAATTTGTCTTCATTTTAAACATGGTGTCGAAATCATTTAATTTTTTGTCTGAATTCGTCTGATTTGTATTGTATGTACTTGTAAGTATTACTTTTTGTTTCTTTTATCCTGCTGCAACGATATTGTGTTGCCTGCACTGTATCTACTAGTGTTATTACTTTTACTTACTAATTTATCAGACTTTCCATCTTCTGGAAATTCAAAGCCTTATGCTACCGAACTGCCGCATGAAAAGAATATGATTGCGTAGTATTTCGACGATGCAAATTGTGGGGCTTCGGCATCGTAATTTCAAGTTGATGTTCAGTTTATACTCTTCAACGCCGCGAGTTTCCACAGCAATCCACCAGGTACTTAATGCTGGTGTCCGGTGCGTGGTAGGAAGCGGAAATTCTGCCGTACAAAAGTTTACGCAAATTTCTTCTCCATTACCGTGATATCCTACGTTCCGGATATTTGGTAATGAGTGCAGTCTTGCTTGTAGGGGCTTCACTTCATCACTAAATCTGAATAGAAATCATATTTAGTGCAGCTAAGTCTTGCCTATTCGGATAGTTCGATTGAAATGCGTTCGAGGTTATAATACACCACCTACGCCGTTCATTCCGCATTATTCCTAAATTCCGCATTAGCGGAGCCCATACTAGAATAATACAAAAATGCATCGTCTGTATTTTCCAACACACAAATTCATTTCAGTTTACTGCTCCCAACCGAAATGCAAGCGATGCTAGTCGCACTATTTATTTCACTGTCATTAGATTGCTAAGCAGACACGCCAAGGGAACTCATAATGACTCGTATATTATTGCAGAGCTCTTCTTAATATCTCTTGACAAGCTCTCAATAAAGAAGCTACGTTAATTTCTCTGTGCCAATCTCGAGTCTTGGCGAGCAATCTTGCGTGCCATCTCCAGATTACTCGCCTCGCCCTAACAAGAACTCCACGTTCAATTAATGCATCAATCTAGATCATGTTTTCAGAATTTATTCATTAGTACTTCTCCGATATATTTATTTTAAAAATTTTTGAGATTTCTTTGTGGCCATAAAAAGTTGTATCACAATTAATCAATGAATTCAAATAATTCATTTCAGCTTAACCTGCTTCAGCCTGCGTTGGGTGCCAAATTCATAAATTCTTTCCAGACCGAGCATGGAAAGAACATATTAAAATTTTTTGCTTATTTATTTCCTCCTAGTGATCGACGCCTCAATGACGCTGTATACCGCGCTCTCTGAAGAGCTTCTCATTACTATAACAGCTCTTCGGCTGCGTTGTGCCATTTCTAGAATCGAGGCTTTCAAATCACCGAGGAGAGGCTTTTTTTCGATTCTGCCGATGTAGGCGCTGGTGCCTACATGCGACCCTCATGGATAGACAGGGACGCCTGGGCCCGGAATCACCAACCCGCATTGTGGCCTGGCGCGCCTCTTTGTGCCGCCATCAACTTGCCGATTGATTGGAACTCGTCCAAATCCGCGATTATTTTGCGCTTTAAGTTTGGTTGATATGCGGATTCTGAAGGGAATTTGGTTATCAATCACCAGCTGCTCCTCCTCATAACTTTTAATTAAGGAATCGTGCTTTGTGGACGTGAGCCCCAGCACTGCAGCAGCTGAAACTTGTAATAAAAATATGTGTGGCTGACAGAGGACTTTAAAATACAAATGTTAAATCTTTTTTGGGGAATAGCGGCACTTTTCATTGAATGAATATTGCAATAAAATGAAGTTAATGACCTTAGGATATGAAAACCGAAGGAGGAATGAGATGAAGTCAGACAAGCTAATCACAGTATCACAAACTTAAATATTCCCAAAATATTCCTTCTGCGAATTTGACAATCAGCCTACATTCTGAAATTATCGCTTAATTTTACGATTCATAAATCAATCTGATCTTTTCTATTGCCCCAAAATACATCTTGGATTTTTATATTTTATCAGTCTTTCCAAAAGATTCTTCAATCAAGTTCTTGAAATTTATTATTTTTCTAGACTTTTTGAATGGTTTTAACATCAAACCATTTCTGCCGCTCGCTTGACCCAGGAGTTAAGAGCGATCGCCTTCTCAGTGTCACATGGACTGAGATGAATATTACTGCGCTTAGTTTATGCGTGCAATAGGCCTTTTTATTTGAGAAATTCAGAAAGATAACTAAGCTGCAGCACTGATTGTTATTTCCTGCTTAACTAAGAATTACTTAAGCAAAACTTGTATTAAATTTCCAACGTGAGAATGACGATTTGTTTATGTGCAACGACCGCCGCGTTTAAGAAATGTAATCGATTGTGATCTATCACCTCACGAAATTAGTACATCAGGTTCAGAGCATAAAGTTTTCGATGAATTGTTTTAGCACATCTAGTGTTGTTATAAGAGGTAATCAATTGTTTCAGTGCACCTATATATTGCATGCGCCTTCTTGTTTTTGCATTCTTAACGAGGTTATCTACAGCATTAAATCGGATGTGTGTCCGGTGATCAATCGACACACATGACGGTAATTTATCAGTGGCACTGATAAATCTAGTAAAACGGCATTCATTTATCAATGGCGCTGATCAAACGACTCGCTCGACGTGGGTTATGAGCGCGACTGCTTAACTTTTATCCAGTTAAGCTTGACGGAATCTACCGGGAGTAACTTAGTAACTTAGGTGTAATTTTCTCCTTACGTTATTAACTTGATTCTTTCATTAGCTGTACCTGCGTGTTAACGACTTAACGGGATTGCGTATGGAGTTCTTTATTGGAATTGTTCTGAACATACGATATCCCTCTGGTATTAGCTAAATTAACATTAAATATTATCATGAAAAACCTTCATATTTGTGAATGTATACCTGAAATCACCCAATCTTTTTGGTCACAGTATCTACAATACATGCATCGTAGGTTCGACTGGTCAATATAACTTGTTTCAAGGTAAATTGTTGCTTCACTGCAATGATAATTAATTCAACCATTCAGCATGTATGGAGATTTAAACTTAGGAGGCTTTGAAGCAGCCAATTTATCTATTAATGAAACAGTAAAAAAAATCCTTCCATGAAATAGAATCCCTTTATCCCGTTAAATCGTGCAGATTTAGACCATGAGAACTATAAAAATACCTGTGTTTCAATTGAAATTGTTATTAAAGTTTTCGTAATTTAAAAATTTATAATTCTTAATCTCTGAAAATCGGTATCCATATGACACAACTCAAGATAAAATCTGCAATATTTTAATTGAAAAGTACTCATTTTCACTGAATAACTAGTACATGTAACTGTTGTTGTTTTTCTCCCATTGGAGAATGATCGTTTGTCTGCCCTTTTATCCTATGAAGGTAAGCCCATCACAAGACTTCAATATAAGCTCTCAATATGAAAGGCCTGTTAAATTCTCTAGAGAATAATTGAATTCTTAATTAAAACACTTACGCACCTAATGACATTTTGGTGGGATTTCACCAATGGCTAATTCTCATTTGAATTAAGTATCATCTCAAGATTACTTGATTTGATCAGCGAACGATTAAATCGTCAATTTATTTCCAAATGAGTTTCGAAGATGATTTTCCTTTTAAAATCTATGTTCTTCCAATATCTTATGTCTGATGTAGAATAGCTCTTAAGAAAGCCATTGGTTACTGAATAACCTCAGAGAAGCTTTATATTGATGTAAAATGTGTTTAATTTCTATGAGTTTTCGTCGCAAACGCCTTTTTTACTATAATCTAAATATTTTACAGCAATTTGCCCTATTTTGCTTGTAAATTTTTCAAACCATTACTGGATTTGCCTCCCGTAGAGTATTTAAATACTCTATTGCCTCCTATTTTATACCCTATTGTCCGCCATAGAAATGTAATACTCTATTGCCTCCTATTTTATACCCTATTGTTTGTCATAGAAATGTAGCACTATCTAATTTTTACACCGAGATGTGTCCCGTAGAATATTCCGTTGCTCTATTGCCTCTAAGTTTCATATCCCCTTGCCTCGCATGGAATATTTTCAATGAAATAAAAGGCACATTTTTTTGGCCAGGACGTGATCAGCCACGGGTCGTCGGTGCTGTACACCGCCACCCACCACCGGGTCTTCATCCGCCAGGTGACGGTGGTGGTCCCCAAGACTTGGTCAGGGGGGCCATGCCCCCGACCTGTCATGACCGCTCCCCACCCCCCTCAGGAGGCCGCCATCAGTGTGGGCGCCCCCCATCCTGTGTATGGCCACGCCCCCTGGACTCTGCAGGTTATATCCTCACCACTTGCTGTAATACTTAACTAATATTATGTACAATGTGATCACGTCACGTGAAGATATGAAATAACTGGAAAAAGACTTTGTATGGATGTCATTCGGTGAATGTGCCATGATTTTATTATGTAGCAGGTAAAAAAATAGTGTTTATTTATTAATTTGTTTGTACTTTGATGCATATTATGCTATGGGCAATTATTAACACGGTGATTGTCCTTTTATTTATTGTTTTTAATTCTGTTATGACCATTTTTCCCGAGCTGTTTCAATAAGCAAATACATACACAGCTTCATTCGTTTTTTTTAGTTCTCATTTATATTCAGTGAAATGAAGTACTTCTTACCGACAATGTGTTACTTTTTAGGAAAAGCTAAGCATTAACAAGTACTTATTGAGGGCAAAATTTATTGGATTAGAATTATTACGAATCGCTATTTGATTTTACCCGTATTGTATATTGTTTTTGCCCCAATAAGATGATCCTATTTTTGTTCGTTTACTTCGTAGTTGTCTATTTACAATGTGATTAATCTATGAATCTATATGAGTAAATAATTGTCATGAAATTTTGTCGACTTACATTTTCAATCCCTTTTATAGTTATTTATTAATAGCTCAGTGTTGTGTAAGCCACACTCCCTTATGTTGTCCTCAGGTTGGAGGTTGCGGTGCTCCTGGCAAGCGCATCTACTTCACGCCGGACTTCCTGGACCACCGCAACCACTCGGCCGTGTTCTCGGGTGAGTCAAACTTAGCAACCACTCGGCCGTGTTCTCGGGTGAGTCGAGCCTAAAGCCTCATGCATACATCACGAGCAATCGTTGTGAGCTATCTAATTATGAACACCTATTAATTGTTCAGTTGAAAATTAATAAATTATTTCAACCTTTTTTAGTGTCAACTTCGTTTACTTTATTCAGTTTTCGATCGTCCGGTTCGTATGACCTGGAATGCAACGCGACAAATACAAAATAATTAGGTTGTTTTTACCTCTCGAGGTAGGTTTTTAGATAGGGCGGTCAAAATCTGCTGAATGCATTGGGATAATTCCATTATTCCGACGGCAAGGCAAGAAATGTCATCCGTGAACGAAAGATGGCCAAAGTTAAAAGTGCTCCGTGGCCCTTGTAACGTGAAAAAGTGTCCAATTAAGTCTCGAGTTTTAAAAAAATGTTCCAAGTTTTGGTTTTTTGCCTGAAAATTTTCGTTGCATTATTCCATGCCAACCGTGCTTCTTTGCCCAGCGTGAAGTATGGGGGAAATATTGGGAACGTCAGGACTTGAAAATTTTGATGAATGTCTTTCATCACAGGTCTTAAAATTTATTTAAGTACGTTCATTGAGAGAGTAAATAAAATTTTTATTCAATATTTTTTAAATTTATTGTATGGAATCTGTTGTCCTTTCATTTCTCTGTTTTTATTAATAAATAACTTCTAATTTTTATCGTGTTTAATCACTGGCAATATTTTTAAAATTATATATCAGCTATATTTCACTTACTCGTATATTTACTTCAAACCTCAGAATATTGTGATCATCTTGTCATCATCCATTCGACCATTTATAATATCCCAGAAACAATTGTGGGAAGTATAAAGTTAATGCTGCATGAATGTCGCCAGTGAACGAATAAATCATTTCTGAATATGACGAAAGTCCTGCATTAATCCTTTAAAACGTTCCATTGCTAAGATTTTCTATTTTGCGTCCAGCTGATGCATCTCGAATGAACACAACGTTTAGATTTAGTGTTGAGTGCATTCAGTATTCCCTGCTAGTCTTGCTTCGGTCTTCACACGGTCTCGCTTCAGACGATTATTTAAACATGACGTCTCATTCACTCCGAGTCTCCTCAAGCAACGTCGAATTCGCTACCTAACCTCGACTTCCGCATCGCAGTTTCGGCTTCAAGTTTTCTTTCTTCAAATCAGAGCATTAAAAATGATGCCAGGGATTGTCCGACCATCGGTCTTATATTAGTTCATAGTAATTTTCCCATTGAATTTGAAGTTTTCTCTTCGTGAGTAGTTGAATGTGAATTTTTGAAATCCATTTTATTCTTTTACTGAAGATTTCTTATTTGGTTGAATGATTTCTTTTCTTTTATGTGTCGGCCTAATTATCAGGTAGCCCTTATTGGCTGCTTTTTAATTTCATTAGAAGTATCTACAAGTATTAAGTGGATGGAATTTAATGGATAATATTCCTATTACACGTTGAAAGCCCTGTAGCTCATTTTAATGAATTACAAAGTAATTCAAACCAAAGATGCAATTATTGTGAAATCTTCTAACCTGGAGTCTGGGAGGAAAACAACACGGGACTCGAATTTCGATCTTGTTTAGGCATCTCTTGCACTTTAATCCTCTCGAACCAATGCAAGCCTAAATTGCATTCCAGCAAAATTCAATTGAGAACAGCTGGGCGTTATGCGCCAGCATTGACGGTGGCTGGCTTCGTTGGTATGCCGTTCATGTTTGTCCATCAAAAGAGCTCACGGCCATCAAAAGAAACGACACAATACCGTCAATATGGCATTTCAATAACGCTTTCGTCTTCACATGGAGGCGCACGCTCCAGTGATAAGTCCAGCGTTGGTGATTCAACTCAACTGCCGATTACAATGCGAGCATTTAACCCTGCCTGCTAAGCGACACATTTGATATTGTTCACTGCATTATTGTACGTGTCATTAGAGACATCATAAAATTAATCCTCTTCATGAGAGCATATTCCTATTCAACAACGCTATTGAAACAATGCATCAAGTCAATGCATGGGCACTGCGATGGGTTGCTGCCTTTTCACTTTGTTAGTCAGCTTTTTTTTTCTACTCAAGCCACACTTAGGATCTAGTGTTTGCTTACACATTTATCGTTGAGTTTTTTGTTTACAATAGTGTACCCAATTGATTGAGAAAAGAAAGTTCTAAAAACAATTCATTTATAGCGGGCATGCAGTGGTTTCCCGCAATCTGCTTCACGATTTAGCTTCTTTCGGAGCTTGCCGACGGCCTTCGACGAGTTCCACATTCTTCAGTCGCGTTCCTTAGTCCAGCAAATCCAACCCGGATCCTATTTTCATTCTTCGCTAACTTCAGGAATGCCCGCCATCACGAATCGAATTCTTGGCCTCAACAAAATAGAAAAAAGAAATTCTCCTTTCCATCTAAATCTTCCGCGAAAATAGAAGACGCGATCAAATTTTATACGTAGACACAACCTATCTTATATATCTTTATAGATTTTCCAACTTTACTAGATTTTTAAAAAAATATAAGGAAGCCGTCCGCACTTTTCGCTGACTCGTATTAATTTCTAAGCGCCGCTCCTCAGTAGCACTCCTAGATTTTACAACTTAATGTATTGTATGATTTTAATCTTCTAATCTGTTATCCTCGAACATATTGTTTTTTTCCACATTATAAACATTGAGACTCGCAATTTCATGACAACAAATTAGCCTCTAAAGCGTCTCCAAAACAAGCCGTAACGATCCAGTCATTAATGCTGTTTTCGATCGCTGGAGCTTTCGTCGTGTTTCGTTCTGCAGGGAAATAAAAATCACTTCCGTTGAACCAAGTTCAGCTTTCCGTTGAACCAATTCAAATTTTAAGAAACATTTGGAACAAGAGGCCGGTTAACTTAATCCATTTCACCTTAAATTATCTCGATTCAAGCAAAAAATAATAGAAACCATTGTTTTTGCTCAAAAAATTACAAATTACTGTCAAATGTGTATGATGGAATTTTCTTTGGCTTACAGAAAAGTTCTAAAATGGGAGTATTTCCATTTCCCACTAAGCGACTATTGTTCATAAAAATCATTTACTAACTACGAGGTGTACTCAGTGGCAGCTGCAATTAAATTAAGTATTCGAAGGAGCGAAGAACTAATTAACTCGCTTCCTTGAAGTTCTCGCTGAATATTGTTGATCATTAACTATATTCACTTAGTAGGTACGGTCGAATAATAAAAAAAAAACCTCATTCTTTCCATTAATTAATGCAAAAATCGGGCGTGGAATTTTAACCATAATTTTACTGGGCCCCAGGTTGGTCCAGTGCATGGTTGTTCAGAGTAGCCGGATTGGAGCAGAGAGGTGCGAGTTTGATCTCAGCTCTGTGCGCCAGCTAGTCTCTGGTTAGATTCGGCAAGGAGGCCGGGCGGTTAAGCAAGGCCAAATTGGAGCAGTGAGTTGCGTGTTCGAGACCACCAACAAGTTACGGCCCAGTAAACGCGGAAACCGCTATTACTATTTTATTATTATATTTACGTCGGCGATGTAAAAGATTACAAGCATCGAATTTATGTTATATTGGTCATACATGCATGGAGCTAATTAAAATTTTTCATATTAATTACACTGCATAAGTGTATCAATGTATCTAAAATACTAATTTCAACAATTAATCATATTGTAATCATCGTTTTTTAAGCCTTCTATTTTGTGTAACCAGATTTTACTTTTTATAATTTATTATTATGTTCCTTCAGAAGCTCTTCTTGTTGTCTATCAAACATTGACTTTGGATTTGTTTTTGCTTGAAAAAAATTCGAAATAAATAGTATTGTAAAATTACTGCGTTCCGACAAACGTGCGGCGCTATATTATAAAGCGGTGTTATGTTACTAACATAAGATATATTATGATGGTGTGGCAGAAAATAATAGACCTGATGACAAGAGGACAGAGACAGTTGTCGGCAGATGCAATGGCAGGTGCAGTTGCAGGTGCAGTTGCAGGTGCAGGTGCAGTTGCAGGTGCAGTTGCAGGTGCAGTTGCAGGTTCAGACCATGCATGGTTTCTGAAATCTGTCCACTATTTAATGACTGTGTACCTTGTTTGTTGCTCAAATTTCAACCTTTTTATCGGGAATATCGCTCATTCTGTATTCGAAAGGTGTGTTATAATTTATTTTCAAGATCTGTATGTTTAGCTGCACTAAGGGTGAATTCTTTTTGCTTGATGTTCATGTAATCGAGGGGCGAGGGATTTAATAAAAGTAACATGTAATGTCATCAATATTTAAAACAAATTTAAATCAATTGAAAAAAATTAGTTTGCTTTTTTCCAGCGCTCTACTGTTTAGTGTCTCCCAAAGTCGTCGTCTGGAGCTTTTCTGTTCATAAAGCTTCTGCACCTACATTGTATAGGTAAGGTCATCCTTATCTAAACTCAAATATAAGCCTCTCGGGGAGATTATATTTCATTTTTGAGACAGATGTGAGATCACAAATTCAAAGGACCTGCAATTTTCCAACGGAAAAAAATTCACTGAAAATTTTCACTGTTTTTGCTAGTATTGTGATCCCTTTTGACCTCCAGTTTAGCTCAATCCAATATCAATTCGGAATCATTTCTGAGACTGCATTCACTTGTGAAGGAAAAAATGCTGGTTGCGGACGCCCTGTTTATTTGCGACAAACTTCGATCAATCGTCAAGGTGTTTTATCAAAGCAAACTATCAATTTGAACTTTACTGGCCCCGGCACCTCCACAGGTTTGCTTGTAGTTCTTTTGTTATAGAAACTGTAATTACTGCATTCGTATCACGTCAGTGAAATTTTTAGATTCTTTCTGCTGGAAACACGATAACTTATCTTCAAGTAGTGGTCATGTTAATTAGATATGAGAACTTCGTAATTTATTTTTAAGTTTGCCTTAATTAGTTAACTTTGAACTAATTACATTGGTAAGACGTCAAGATTTGATCACTTCTCTCTGACTCGAATA